TCTCTCTCATTATTCTGGTGTTTAGCAAATAGAACTAATGTTGGTGATCCTGACTGAGCTGAAACAGGAAACGTTTGGTCTGATTGAATGTCAGACGGTGAGAAGAAACTAGGTTACGTGTCTTTATACAGCGGATGTAAACTTCTGGTTTCAACTGTAGATGTAAAATCAGACAGCTCTCATGCTGTGACAAAGACAAACCAAAATATTTCCAGCATATAACAGAGCAGCTGCATGAAGGGAATTTACCACAAAGACTCGCTGCTTCACGCTTCAAACAGTCAGTGTCTTGAAATGACAGCAATATAAATATAAACATGCCAGACGAGCAATTTTCTATTTTTTTCATTAAAGCTCTTTTGCTTCTTGCAGAAAAACCAAAGAACCTGGAAGTAATCTATGACGAGGTGAAGGCTCAGGAGCAGGCGGTGCATCCTGTCAGAACAGGTCATTTGTGGTTTTCCTGGACGAAGAACAGAAACGTGCTATGAAATATTGCAAAAACTTTACTGTGTTTTCTGTTTTTGTAGAGAATAAAACGGGGTCTCCCCTCTGCACCCTGCCCACGGTGGTTGTAGCAGGTCTGGGGATGACTTGTGTCGTCTTGGTGTCGGTCATTATCGCCCTCGGTATCCACTGTAAGTCCAGCTGTCTGTGGATTCATGCACCTCAAAGGCTGCCAGAGAGCAGCAGCAGTAATAGTTTCATCTGACTGCAGTCACATGGGAGTACCAAGAAAACATCAACCTAAAATCAAGGAACTGGCAGCTGGAGGCAGAGAAGCTCGCCTTACAGAGACGAGCCGAAGAGCTGGTCAGAGAGAGAGACCGACTCAACTGGACCATGGGAGTCATACTGGAACATGAGAACTTTCCAGTGACCACACACTGTCCACAGAGAGGTGGGAAACAAGCGGACAGTTTCCTGTCATTTGGGTGTTGTTTTCATGAATGCCTTAAAAACTGTTTCGCATTCTTGACTCAAAACACAACACATTTAAAATCAACAGAGATTCTGCTTCTGTTGTCTGTCTCTGTTTTAAACAGTTTGTGGACCTTGTCTGAAAGACTGGGTGCTGTTCCAGTCAAGCTGCTACCTGTTTGTCTACCAGTGGAGGGGCTGGCAGGGAAGTCGTGATCATTGCAAAGGAAAGAATGCTGATCTGGTGGTGATTGAAAGCCAGGAGGAACAGGCAAGGCTCTCATTTGTAGTTTTCTTCATGTTCAGACAAAGCCAGAGGGCTTTTTATTTTATCATTATCTAAAGAGTGAGATGAAAACGGATGGTGTGAAGAAGTGTGAAGCCACTAACAAGTCATTATTGAGACACAAAAGAGGAAACAATGGTGAAGCACGGCGGTGGCAGCATCATTCTCAGCAACCGGTCAGAACTCAGGGAAGAGTGATTGAAATTCAGAGGTCCTTGAAGAAAACCTTCTGCAGAGGACAAAGACCTGAGACTGCGATGGTGAACTACCTTTCATCCACACAGCGACTCGAAGAAAACAGCAGGACAACACGCGAGTGACTTCAGGACCCAACAGAACATGTGTGGACATAGAAGAAGAAGAAGACAAAGGAGTTCATACAAAGTCCTGAGTTATGGCTCCTCATACCAACTATGAGACTTTAGGTGGTTAAACATCCGTGTTATTGAGGGAAGATGAATGAGGGACAAATGCCAATTTTTCTGAATATGTTTGAGAAGCGACTTCTTCATAGTTTTAAAGTTACTTAAAATCCACTTTCTGCTCTTTTTGTAAGCTGCTTTTGAGCATCTCTACCCTTTGTGCTGTCTTCTTTGTGTTTTTCACCTTTTGGCAACGATTGTAATAACATTTATTTGATGTTGTAGGAATTCATCAGTAACCGCACAGAAGGCTACTACGAGGAAAGCCGTGGCTACTGGATCGGCTTGAAGCTCGAGGACACGACGGACACGTGGACGTGGGTCGATGGAAGCAACTCCACAGTGACGTAAGCAAACACCAACACAGAATAACTCCGTGGTTTCCTCAGAATGCCTTTTTGCCCTCTGAGTCATGACTGCAGTGATTCAGACACACTTCATTACCCCAGAATGAACTAGTGGCGGTTGTGAAATTAGCAAAAAGCATTTGGAGGAAACTCTTTCAACTCGTCCCTGTCCATCAGTAGTGAAGCCAAAATGGATTCATTTACTAGGTTTGACGATGAAACTCGTCCCACAGGATGCTGACATGTCTACATGATAACAGCTGTCGCTGTGATACGACACATTTCCTTTATGATCGTAGCCTGAACGACGCCTCACGCTGTAGCTTCTGCTGCTGCCTTCAAACTGGGAGCTAACTCAGCTTCTGCTGCTTTCATATACATCCTCTGAGCTTCAAAAGAATTAGTTGTCATGAAGTCTTTCTGCACCAGCGACAGTACAGAGACCACGTGGGAAGTCCCTCGCAGGAATAAGGTTAACCCGAGCACACGGGCTGAAGTCAGCCGGTTCCTGGAAGAATAGAAGTTCTTCCTGTGATTAATCAAAGCCTGGTTTCCCTCATTAGAGACGAGTTCCATCCTGCATTCTTCTTTTTCTATCATCCTGAACAGAGATGGACTGACGTCCAGGAACCAACCCCATGAGCACCAACTCATGTTCTGTCCCAGCAGAGTGTCAGAACTTTAGCGGCAACAACTACAAACTCAAAAGCCGACCCGAAGTTGCCCCAGAAAATATTCAGCTCCTTGTTGTAACACTGTTGTGTTAAAAGTGACATTTTTACCTCCAGA